CGAGCAGTTGGCTGGGATGCCCCACCAGAGAAAACCAGAGTCTGGACCTGTCAATCTCTTTCTCTCTCTATAGATATATATATACCTTTTTTCAAACCTATAACACACACTGTTGAGATGGGGTGTTTCACAAGATGCTAGTAGATTCTCTTCATGGTATATTGCTTCATAATTATGCCCGTAGTAGACCATATTGATTCATAAACTATCATGAGTAAAGCAGAAGGTGATAGCTGCCAATTCCTGCTATTCCTTTGACTAAATAAATCAGGAGTGGTCTGCTTTTCAAAATAGGGTTTCTGTATTCACCCATTACACAGTTTCCAATATCATAGCTCCTTCAGGCTCCCTACCATGTTTCTCTCCCCCATTCTTCATGTGGAGTACAGGAGTCCTTACTGCTTACCAGATCCTATCCACTTGGGTGGTGGACCATAGAGGCTTCCTCCTGAATGTGCTTAATCCCATTCATTAGAGAGCTGGATGGTGGTGTGCTGCTCATGTAGAATCAGAAACTGGAGTAGATCCATCATAATGCAGTTCACCCTGTGGTTAGGACCCCTCATCCTACCATTACCTGGATGTCGGTTTTTGAATTATAGGTTTTGGATTAGAGCTGGACTAGCCAACATATGGCCTCACACATGTATTGGTTGGGAGCCCTTGTCCTTCCACGGACATGATGTATTAGTTGGTTGAGGTACCCCTGGCATTCCTCCTCTGTAAAGCTGTGGCTAAGGTGTTCTGTATTGCAAAGAACTAGGCTGACTGACAGGTACTCTGGTTAGCTGGAGTACCCCCTGACATACCATATGCAGGTTACAACTTATACGTTGTGGTAGCACATGAAGGTGGACCTGGAACCCGAAGTCTGATTGTTTTTGTATTTGAGGGAAACACTACATTGGGCATTTCTCTTCCTACTGTCATTCAGTGTTGATTGAAAATTTATTTTCATGTGCCCTGCCTAGTCAGACAGAACAGAACATCTTCCTTCCATCTCATAGGTTTGAGGTGAAGATAGTAGGAGTCCTCCTCCTACTGTGGAATGGATGATAAGTACCCAATGTTGCCTGATTTTGGACTGGAGTTCACCCACCAAGTATGGGCTGACATGCCCTAGCCATTCTACACTGTGCGACACATCCATTTCGTTTTCCAAACCATTACTATATTTGGTTGGGAATCCTCCATCCTGCCATCTCCTGGATGTCACTTCTCAGGTGTTTATGTTGGGTGTGGAGTTGAACCAACCAACATGTATACATTAATGGATGTGCTTCATCTAATTTCCGTCTATTTATGCAACACTTACTATTTCATTGGGAAACAGTATACCTGGTTCAGATGTGGTGCAGTCTCCCGCAGGTGTGTTTCTCTGTCAACAGAGATCACATTCCTTGAACATTCTTTGGATATTTTCCGAAGTATGCTCATCTAGGTAACTTTTGCATCAGTCTCTCCACCTCTTCAGTGTGGGATTCTAGCTCTTATATGAGCGAAGGTAAGATACTATAATTATAGTATTTTGGCACTTGTGTATAAAGTTAAAATCATAAATAATATTCAACGTTAAACTGGTACAC